ACTCACGGAAAGGAAAAACTCCTTCATCAAATATGACGTCTCTTGATATGTAGACGCGTCCTGTACTAACATCAAGGCATTTGTAGCCTTTATGAGATGAACTATAGCCCAAGAAGACGCATCGTTTGGAACGAAAAGCAAGTTTATGAGTGTTATAAGGACGAAGGTTGGGCCAACATGCACAGCCAAATACTCGAAGGAACTTATAGTCGGGTTTCTTATGAAAGAGACGCTCGTAGGGTGTCATGAAGTCAATGACTTTGGATGGGGTTCGATTAATAAGATATGCTGCCGTGGCAAAAACTTCATCCCAGAATTTTAAAGGCATAGATGCATGTGCAAGCAAGGCTAGACCAACCTCAACAATGTGCCTGTGTTTTCGTTCAGCTGGGCCGTTTTGTTGGTGTGCGTGAGGACACGATACTAGGTGTGCTACTCTAATTTTTGTGAAGAAGGAGCTGAGTTTTTGGTACTCTCCACCCCAATCTGTCTGTACAGCAATAATTTTGCTGTCAAACATTCGTTCAACCATATTTTGGAAGTCATGAAATTTCTGAAAAACTTCAGATTTAAAACGAAGCAAATAGACCCAGGTGAACTTACTATAATCATCGATGAAAGAAACATAGTATTTATTTTTGCCTACCGAATCTGTGGCAGGACCCCATACATCAGAAAAAATGAGTTCTAGTGGCTTGGATGAAGCACTAGTGGACACAGGATACGGAAGCTGATGGCTCTTTGCCTGTTGACATGCATCACAGACGGAGCCTTTATTTGACTCAACTAAAAAGGGCAAATTATTGCTACTAACGACTTTCTTAACTATCTCAGATGAGGGATGACCAAGACGATAGTGCCACAAGTCAGGAGACGATCTGGTGGCACCAAGAGCTTCTTTCAGATGCGCACTCGGTATGGGGTAGAGACCGTTTCTACACCGGCCTTCAAACAGCGTCCTCTTGGTAGCTTGATCCTTAACAAGAAAATGATTCGAATAAAATTCAAGGTATGCATGATTATCAGAAGTAAGACGGTGCACAGATATAAGATTTTTATCAGCAGCAGGAACATGAAGAACACGATTAAGTTTCAAATTGGAATTAGGGGTACTAATAATAGCATGACCAATGTGACTGATATTCATACCTGCACCGTTTGCTGCACGGATTTGATCTTTTCCCTTGTACTTCTCCTTCATGGAGAGCTTCTCGAGCTCTCCAGTGATGTGGTCGGTGGAGCCGGTATCCGTATACCAGTTTGTGTCCACTCCATATGAATGTGTCGCAGCCGATGCACTCCTCTGATTGGGATAAGACTCCTCATCGAGCCTGTACCAGCATTCCAGGGCGGTGTGGCCAGTCTTGTCGCAGATTTGGCACTGTGGTTTGTCGTCGCTGTAGCTGCTGTTGTTGAAGTACCCGCGGCCAGTGCCACGTCCTCCTGGTGTACCTGAGCCACGGCCACGACCGCCGGAGCGGCCACGGCCACCACCACGGCCTTGCTGATTGCCGCGACCGCGGTTATTGCCGCCTCCACGGCCGCGTTTGGCCATGTTGGCAGATCCTTGCGATCCGCCATGCAGTAGATCCAATCTGTGCTCAAAGCTCAGCAGCTGAGAGACCAATTCACCCACCGAGATAGACTCGGTGCGCGCCCCCACCGCCGTCACGACTGGATTGAACTCCTCATCAAGGCCGGCCAGGAGATAAGAAACCAGCTCTTCATCATCAACTTTCTTTCCAGCCGAGGCCATATCATCTGCCAGGGACTTTATTTTTGCAACATACTCCGTAACAGACATGTTACCTTTGCGGGTCGTTGCAAGTGCGATCCTCGTGTTGACGGTCCTCGCACGTGAGGCAGATGTGTACATCCGCACAAGTTCTCCATACACCTCTTGCGGTGTTTCGAGTGTGGCCACTTGGGCCATCACCTCCCGTGACAGCGACGTCATCAGGAACCCAAGCACCTGCTGCTCCATGGCTTTCCAGGCAGCATGATCGGGGTTGGGCACCTTCTTGACCTTCTCTCCATCCTTGGCTTCAAGTTCTGCAGGTGGAGGAGTGTCGGTGCCGTCGAGATAGCCCTGCAACTGCGCTCCTCGCAGTATGGGCAGGACCTGCGCCCTCCATAGAGGGAAGTTGGTCTTGGTCAATTTTTCGGTGATGACCTGACCGAACAATGGAGACGCGACGTTGAGCGCCGAGGAGCTCGCCATGACGACGGGCAAGACTCAGGCGACGCTAGATGTATTTTTGTGGGAGTTTGCTCTGATTACCATGAAAGCAACCAGGTATGTTTAGGAAGCGTTCTCACCTCTACAGAGGCCGCGTAGCTTTGTTAATATATGCAGAGAAGAGCCCTCTGCATGGCGTACAAATCACCAACCGAAATCAAGGAGATGCCGGTATTATACCTTTCTATTTTTACAACAACCATATCTGGACTTTCCTATCTTCACAACCCAGGAACTTTCTACACAATTCTACACATCGGGACTCCATGATTTCGGTTGGTTTGTTTCCATACAAAGCATATGTTACAATATTATCTAACAGGCGAAGTGTACAAGAAGATGAGACCAGCAGCAACTAACCAGTACGTAGAGCGCGATGTCGTTCAGAGATAACTAGCTACCTCGCTCTCTGCTTACGTGTACGGATACGGACTGATCTTCTTCAGCTAATAGCCGAATAGGTAGATCTCGGTTGATCGGGATCACTACGTACTGTCATTGTACACTGGAAAACAGGAGTATAGGACCGTCGCCACGTTAGTTTGGGCTTGTTTGGCTTATAAGCCATACTTTTTCAATCAATGAACAATATTTTTTTCTCACATCAAACCAGTCAACGGTACTTTCAGCCATGACTTATTAGTCAAACAAGCCAAAACGAACAGGACACGTGTGTGTGGTCACTCCGATCCATGACTAGATCCATCGATCGAGCCGGGTTACTCTCCCTCTCCCATCACTGTCGATTTCTCGTTCGATCGTCGACACCTATAGTTTTAGTAATTAATTTGGTTCTACTGTCCCGCTCAAAATCATTTTCTACGAAACCGATTGATCGAGCGATGATCGAACACGCCTGTTTGGCATACCCATTAGCGGATCTAGAAACTTTTATGAGCCCGAGTAATTCTTATTATGCAAACATATTTAGCTAAAAATAAAATTATAGGATTGTACTTTTGAAAATCGGTGACGAGTCCGGCCGGCCGCACGGGGTTCCCGGGCGGTGGCTCCGCCACTGGGCATACCTATGCTTGACAAGTACTAATCACATACACACATATACATTACTAAAAATTAACTTTGACTAAAGTTATATAAAAATATACTAATACTTATGCAAAATAAGTATTATTAAATTAGTTATAGAATATATTTTTATAATATATTTAGTTTGAGACATAAATGCTAATATTATTTACTATAAACTTAGCCAAAAATAATCTAGTTTGACCGGCACGTTTTCCTTAACTGCATTCTTTTGAGGACTGGGTAGTACTGTATTCACTGAGTCGTTATACTGATAGTACTGCTGTCCTGGTCGTCCCAACTAAGATTCGATCATCATTAATTTGCTGCTCATTCAGTGCCTCATCCTCCTTTGTCCTTTCCTCCATGACCTTGATCATGAGTGATCGATCGAGAATCGAGATCACCATTAACGAGCAGGGAGAGAGCGACACAAAGGTTTTGTGGACCGGGAGATTGCAAATGCATGTTCACTCCGCGCGCGGTGCGCGGCTCCTCCGAACACCGGCGGACGGCGGCGGCTATACCCGTGCCGCGGCGAGGGATGCCTGCGGACGTGGCACCGGAGAAGTACCTAGCGACGAGAGCGAGGAGTAGTCGAAGCACGTGCGTGCAGTGCAGCGACTGACGGCCACTGACACGCCACTGCCTACCGCGTCCCGCAGAGGAGAGAGGTGATAGATGGCCGCGTGGGCTCGTCTCGGAGCGGACCAGCAGAGAGACGGCCACTGCCCACTGGACTCACTCGTCGTCGTCGACGACGACGTACGATCGGGTGCCGGCTGCCCACAACGTACCGCCAGCGCGCCACCGTAGTACATGCATGCGGCGGCGGCAGGGGCATCCAGTGTGGGAAGCTAGCTGCAGGTGCAGGTCGACCGCCCCGGGGACCGGACCGATGGCCTGGTCTCTGTCTGCTGCTAGCTGTCGTCCAAAGCAGGACGACGACACACACGGAGGAATCTAGCAGCAATAAGAAATGTTGATGAAGTCGCTAGCCGGTGAGCAAAACATAAGTCTGAATGATACAAGAGGACACTCCTGGCCTGGATTCTATACATCAGCTAAATATAAGAGAAAAGCATATCATGCAAATCATCGACAGTGGTAAAAGCTAATGAATTCATATATTGATTCAATACCAACATACAAAGTGAAATCAGCGAGGAGACTAACCATGCGATTTTTTTGTCTGATACTCCCTCTATCTGAAAAATATAATAATTGTAAAACAATACCAAGTCAAATCATCTTAATTTTGACCAGACTTTATAAAAAAAAGTATCTATAAACAAGTATATATTATTAGATTCATCGTGGCATATATTCGTATAGTGCGTCTATTCCACTAAAATTTCATTGTTTTTGTGACGGGGGTCGTAGTTCTGTAAAAATGCAGGTTTATTTTCGTGGCTCAGCACCACTAGCTTTATCTTGGCCACTGCCGCCCTATGTGCACCACACACTTTATTATACTGCATCATCAGCAACACGCCATGATATACTATTGTCCACGAGCTAGCTAACGTAACGACATCGTCGCGTAAGAACGGGCGCGCGCGCGGGACGTGCGTCCGCCGTCTGGCCATCTATATATACAAGCGGAGGCAGTCGCAGTTCCCCACACCACCGCAATCCTCCGCAACCAGCTAGCCTACCGTCGTAGCCGCACGCGTCCTAGCCTAGCTAGATAGGAAGCTTAAGCTAGCGCGTGTCGCCGTGCCATCTCGCCATGGGGGAGGATCAGGCGCGGGCGCCGCTGCTGCAGCCGCTCGGCGATTTCGAAGCGGGCGGCGCCGGGGCCGGCGCGGCCACCACCAAGGGGCGCGTGAGGCGGGCGGCGCTGGAGTGGTGGGTGGAGTCGAAGAAGCTCTGGCACATCGTCGGCCCGGCCATCCTCCAGCGGATCGCGCTGTACGGGGTCAACGTCGTCACGCAGGCCTTCATCGGCCACCTCGGCGACCTCGAACTCGCCGCCTTCTCCATCGCCGCCACCGTCGTCGCCGGCTTCAACTTCGGCTTCCTAGTACGCGTCACCACCCGCGCTAGCTGCCTCCTAATCATGTCGTTACTATGCATGCACGCCCGCGCGCGCGCACACGCATTCGTGGCTGCTGCTGCCTCACCAGTTCAGCTCCGCCCGAGCTAGACAGCGGAGCTTCCTGTCCTATATACGCTAGCTCCTTTCTGTTTCCGGAGCTGGAGGCAGGCAGATCACGTCAAGCAACGAGTTACCCCTACCCTACAATTTGTGAACAGCTTAACCAGCTAACAAGCAGTGCCGTCTGCCGCTTAAATGTTTTGGACGATAGAGCATGGTAGAGTAGGTAAGAAGATCCAAATCCAATTCCACTTAAATGTTTATTTATGCTAAACAAAAAAAAACATTGATATGGTCAACCAACACCTACTGGACGCATTTGGTTTGCAGATTGCAGAAATAGCTCTGAATATTCTTTTCAAGTTGTATACTCTACAATGTTGGTTTACCTCCAATCGGGCCGGTGGGATATCCTTCCATTTCAAATTTATGTCTTTCTATCTTTATTCTAAGTCAAATTTCTTTAGTTGTGATCCAGTTTATAGGAAATACAATAAACATCTACAACATCACACAAGATTGGGTTCACTATCATTGTATCAACTCGATAATGATTGTGAATTAATAAAATCCTTTCTTTATAAAAAAATCAAACTAGATTCATTAGATTTGCCATAAAATATATTTGATATTGCATTCATTTCATAACATAGATGTTGATACATTTTTTAATAAACTTCATCACAAGTTTAACTTAAGATAAAGCTGAACTGATTATGTTTTGGAAATAACAATCATATAATTGAGTCGTATCGGATCCATGGACCATGCGGTAGTTGAGCTCTGATTTATGATGATCTTTGGGATGTGTGATGATTGACTTTCAGGTTTCTGTAACCAACAGCTAGGCGGGCTGTAGCTGTTAATTAAAAACTGAATGAAGAAACACCAAGATTATTAACATGTTGCTGAGTATCGCTGTCGCAGTATCACCCCAGTTAATCTCTCCTTGTCTCCCAGTACCTTTCACTCATTATTTTTCACAAAAAAAGGTCCACGGGCTGCTGAGATTGGATCTCTCTGGTGCATGCTGGCGCTGTTCCTTTTTATGTGGATAGTTGCTGCCGACGATAGACAGCCAAGTGATAAATATGTGTACGTATGCATCTGTTCTGAGCTTCTGTTCAGGAACCGAATCCAACCAGGACCATGCCAAATGATAGCCAATCAAAGGACATGTGCAATGCAAGTCAGGAGAACCTGAGCCGTGTTCTAGTCTGCTGTCTGGCGTCCTTGGATTTGGATGCTTGGTACTGGTCTGACGACGACGCTCTCGGTTCATGGTTGTCGCCGGGCTACGTGCTCAGGTCGCAGAAGCCATACAAATAAAATGTCACCATCTTCAATTATTACTCTACCATTTCGTCATGGCTCACGACATGTGTAGTAGTTGTACAACATTTGGCTACTCGCAGTTACTAATGATTCTACTAATAATGCTGCGAGCACAGTAAAAAAATGAAAAACCCGTGCGTAATCACGGTAATAATAATAGTTTAACTTGACGATGCTGATGCTGGTGCTGTAGCTGGGCATGGCGAGCGCGCTGGAGACGCTGTGCGGGCAGGCGTTCGGCGCGAAGAAGCACCACATGCTGGGCGTGTACCTGCAGCGGTCCTGGATCGTGCTCCTCATCTTCGCGGCGGCGCTGACGCCGACGTACATCTTCATGGAGGACCTGCTGCTGCTGATCGGGCAGACCCCGGAGCTGTCGCGCCTGGCGGGGCAGATGAGCGTATGGCTGCTCCCGCAGCACTTCGCCATGGCGATGCTGCTCCCGCTCACGCGCTTCCTGCAAAGCCAGCTCAAGAACTGGGTCACCGCTATCACCGCGGCCGTCGCGCTGGCAATCCACGTCGTCGTCACCTACGTGCTCGTGCAGCGCCTCGAGCTGGGAATCGTCGGGGCCGTCGCCTCCGCGGACATGGCGTGGTGGCTCGTCGTGCTGGGCCAGTACGTCTACGTCGTCGGAGGCGGGTGCCCGCTGTCGTGGAAGGGCTTCACCATGGAGGCGTTCGCCGACTTCTGGGAGTTCATCAAGCTCTCCTCCGCATCCGGAGTCATGCTCTGGTTCGTGCCGCCGTCGTCGTCCATTTCGTAGCTTAGTTTCTCTAGCCTAATAGTGAGCTAGACGACGTAGTAGCGACGACATGATCTGATATGGTTTCAACGAAGTCCTACAATTATTAACGTACGCTTCATGACCTGCATGCAGCTTGGAGAACTGGTACTACCGACTGTTGGTGCTGCTGACAGGGTACCTGAAGAACGCTGAAATCGCTGTGGATGCACTCTCCATATGGTAACTGCATGGTGCTTAGCACGCCATTCGAATCCAGATCAGTTTCCATGCATATCTAACAAGTGCATTGTATTGGTTGTTGATCCAAATGCAGTCAGACTATCAACGGATGGGAGATGATGATCCCCTTCGGCTTCTTAGCAGCAACCGGGTACATACGTACACGATCGGGTTTTTTTTTAGAACGAACACATCAGTCGTCAGTGCACTAGAAATAAAGCATCGATCGATTTGGCATGGCACTTGCAGGGTGCGAGTCGCAAATGAGCTCGGCGCAGGGAGCGGCAAAGGCGCGCGCTTCGCCATCGTGGTGTCCATCACGACGTCCGTGGTGATCGGCCTCGTCTTCTGGTGCCTCATCCTCTACTTCGACGACAAGATCGCGCTCCTCTTCACGTCCAGCGCGGTCGTGCTCGACGCAGTGCACCACCTGTCCGTGCTGCTCGCATTCACCATCCTCCTCAACAGCGTGCAGCCCGTCCTCTCAGGCAAGCCGCTGAACCTGTACCTGAGCGGAGCATTGCCTCTGCTTGCTTCCTTGTGATTCTCATGGTGGATTTGTTGCTTCTGCAGGGGTGGCCGTTGGTTCAGGATGGCAAGCATTGGTCGCCTACGTGAACGTCGGCACCTACTACCTCATCGGAGTTCCCTTGGGTATCCTACTCGGTTGGCCGCTGCAGTTTGGAGTAGGGGTAATGATGCTATAAACAACATGTGCAAATCAGTAGTCCCGATCAACTTTGCGCATCAACTTGACAGCTGATTTTCAGGGAATCTGGTCCGGCATGATTGGAGGGACCGCCGTTCAAACGATCATACTCGCCTACCTCACTGTCAAATGTGACTGGGATGAAGAGGTGGCGCACTGCACTCTAATCTTCTTTGTTTCCAGTGTTTCTGCATATATATTTGAGTTTCTTCCGTGTACTGACCGCATCGATTTATTTGTTGCTTGTGATGCTTCTTTATTTGCAGGCGAGGTTAACCAGTATGAGAATGAAGAAATGGGCTGACGACTCGAAATAAATCTACTCCAACAATACTGCTTCACTTTGTTGTTAGCCAGGCACAGGGAACCCTGAAGCTAAGATAACTTCTGGTAAAACTAAAATATACATATATAGTTATCTTGCTTAGAAGTTACTTATATATGTAAAAAAAAAGAGTCAAAGCGCAACAAGACTAAAGAAACAATGTGCATATATGTGTGTGCAGATACAGCCATGCATGTTCCGGCCTTCAACTACATTTGGCGGCTGACGACAAGGTTTCTTCTTCTTCTCTGAAGATAGTGTTCGGAACCTCCCATAGTGGAATTGCGTACCGCCAGAGGGATCACGTAACTATATTTGTGGTCCTTTCGCAGCATTGTCGTAAGGATAATTTTTGCAATACTGTTTCAGTGTCAAAATATTGTGTCATTATTGAGCTAATCTCGGACAGGTCATTCATCGCCCTTCTTCTTCTTCTTCTTCCTCCTCCTCCTCCTCATCCTATTATTATTATCAAAACAAATGACATATAAGGTGTCGGTCTACCCAACATGTATTTGTATTCTAGTATTAAAGAGCAAAGTTTTCCTCTAACTCTGTTTTTTACTTCCCAAACAGCCATTTTTTCGTCCCGTTTTCTTGTTTACTTTTTAAACTGCCCTTGCAGCACCCTCTGTATCCCATATATGACTCAACTGCCCTCTCACACTTCGTATCCCGTATATGACATGTATTCATGACCCATATATGGCTTGGATTCATGACACATGCTTATACAAGGTAGAAGAACTCGTCCAGCAATGATACGAAATATGATTCCAGCACGTATTGGGTTCCATGCAAAGCAGGGCATGTTTGCTAGTTAATTAATAGAGAAAGAAGTTTAAGAAAATTAACATTTGGGCCTCCTCAAATGCTCCTCCATAGGAGCCGAAGCACTTGAAGATGGACCTTTTGCACCTCCAGCTCCTCGACCAAAAATGGCTCTGGCTCATCTACTGTTCGACAAAAAACGGCTCCTCCTTAAAATCTATTTGGTACGACTTCTTTGGCTCCTTCATAGAAGTTCCTGCTAGACCAAACATGCCCTTACATAAATTTATGAAAGCAGCAGAACGTGAAGCTTAGGAAAGATATTAGCGCTATTGAGCTGCTTGTTGGCTAAACACCATGATCTAGTTTAGGACATGTTTGGACCATAATTGGATCATATTAATCACCTAAAATAATGTAATGGTGAAACATGAGAGATATAGATTATTATAATCGAAGTACCATATTATAATAATCTTGTAATCCACCTGGGATTTATTAATGGGAGGTTATCAATGCTAAAAAGACCAGCTTGCCTCTCCACCTTATCCCCTCTACCGCATGCAAGGGTATCATTGGTCATTTGTAAACTAACCAACAATAGTACACCCACTGTAATCTAGGATCTAAATTGTCTAGATTATTAAAATTCATAATCTAGATTATTATAAGCCCATTCATAATCTTGATTACTATAATAAAGTAGGAATCAAACAATGCCTTAATTAGACCTGTTTGGAGGGGCTCATCCCGGCTCAGTGAAGCCAGGAGGAGCCACACATAGGCAGCTTCGATGGCTTTCTCGGATCCTCATGTTTTCTAGAGCCGTTTCTTAAGCTCCTACAATAATCTACGATAGCTCTGTTCGCTTGGTTTATAAGCTGTATTTTTTCAGTCAATGAATAGTATTTTTTTCTCACAATAAATCAGTCAATAGTACTTTCAGCCATGACTTATCAGCCAAGTGAACATGACAAATATATGCTCAACAGTGCATTGCAGTACATTTAGAGCCGGAGTCGGAGCACATGGAAGCCCCTCCAATAACGGGGTCTTAGTCATTCGTCATCTTGTCCTCACACTTTTCACGCAGGCATAAATATTGTGAAGTGGTTCCTTATGGCAGCCCCAACATAGAAGGAAGAAAGAATTTTATAAGAAAGCACCACTTTATCAAGATGGCCCAATTACCGCAATAATAAGAAAGAAAGAAATGCAATATTGATTTTAATTTTAATGATCATTTAATGGTCTAGATTTAACTGAAAAAGTCTACTATTAGTAGACACCTAAATTCAAAATTAAAAAAAATTGAATACTACACGAGTTGGGAAGCATAGGTAAATAAATACTCCATGTCAAGCACAACTAATAAGTGTAGGTAAATTTGAATTAAAAATAAAACTAGTAACTAAATTTCTCGTTGGATTAGAAATCAAAATATATGATTAAATAAATAACACATACAAATAATTTAATTAGTATAAAAATCATAAAAGCAACCATGTTAGTTGAGAGGGAATAAAAACTACCACATTAACTAAAAATGAAAACAATGTGCACCATTGCCCCATTGGTTTTACCGGTCATCTAATGGGAAGGATCAGATTCAAGGGCATGTACAACCCACATACGGCTTGCTGTCTGTACGATGACGTCGTACTACATACAGATAGCTAAACAGGCAGCGTGTATAGTGGGTTGTCTGTTTAGCTGTCTGTTAATTATTTAATGTCTGCATGTAGTCATGATCAAGCCTAAATATGATTCATTTATACCATTGTGTTGCTTGTTGATAAAAAAAATTAAGCATAAATAAGACAACCATTGCTACAAAAGATCAAGCATAAATAAATTAGAAATATATTAAAAATAGATGGGAAGTAAAGAAAAAACAATGACAAAAAACAAAAGTATATGAAAATACCATATTGCTCTATATCTTCCTATCATCTACCTCTGCTCACTCGTGACCGTGTGGTTCTTATCTCCGTTTTTTTCTCTTCCTATCTCTTCTGTATTCTCTCTAGCGTCTCCCCCATCATGGTGAGACAAAATTCCAGTGCTCAGCCTTGCTTGGGCGATGAGCAGTGCGGCGAGCTCCCCGCACCGGCCTTGAAGCCGGTGATTCCTCGCTCCTCGGCCTGCGTACAAGTACCACTGACGAGCTCGCGCCACTCACCGCCTCCGAATAGTCACTTCGCCATGAACAGCAGTGCGACCAGAAGCTGCAGGTGGCGTCGCTCATCTGAAAGAGCTACACCATCACGTGCCTGGACCTTTGCCTCCCTCGACAGCGTGCGGCAGTTCATGGACAGCTTAATTCCGCCGCGTAGGGATGTCGCTCGACTCGCTCATCTGCAACCCACCATCTACCACACTCAATCCTGAGAATTTGGCGCTCGGAGTCGACGATTCATACAACACGCGGCGAAGGCGTCGGTTTGGCGTGGGAGCACGAGCCGATGTCGTTGTTTCACCATACGACGGCTTGCATCTCTCTCTTCTTTGAATGCAGTTCGCGAGGGAGTATTTTGCAAAAATTACATCATACAGACGGCACTTGGAAGCCCGTTGTACGTGCCCTTGGGAAACATGAGAATTGAGCTGGGTAGTGCACCATGACTAGTGATGATAATGGGGACCCGATTTCCCATGGGGAATTCAATTATTAAGGGGACAGGGTTGGGGAGTCTTTTCTCCCCTGGCATAAAATGGGGCAATTTTATCTCGTGTTGAGTCTAGCCAGGATGGGGATGGTGTAGCATTTCTCATCCCTATTTCCCGTAGGGATTCCCATGACGGGAACCGTTTAGATGGCTAGCAGACTAATTTTAGGTAAAGCCCATCCATCTAAGCATCCCATTCCACAAGACATAGACCCATGATCACTAGCCCAATACCAATGGCGGAGGGAAGAGGAGGGTGGGGGAGAGGCAAGCACCCATAACATTTCTATGCCCCCATAATATGTCCTCTTAATTAACTACTTAATAGTTTAATTAGCTAGTTAATGATGCTATTTGCGATTTTGTTCCATGTCCTTTCTCCATACCAATCTCTAATAACATCTTTTATAATTAATAATTGTGTCATTCTATTTTTTGCTCAATCTCTTTTGTTCCTCCATATTATAGTCTCTAATAGCATCTTATACAATTAGCTATTTAATTATGCTATTTGTGTTTTTATTAAACATCTTGTTCGTCCGTACAATACACACTCTAATTAGCTAGTTAATTATAATTAGTGATTTGCTTATTTGCTCTCTCCCAATTGATCTCCAATGACATCTACATTATTTGGTTGTTATGCATACTCTTGTCTTGTACATTTTGTCATACATGATTGTTGTTGGTTTGAACGGCCCCTCTATGTCTAAATACTGGCTCCGCCCCTACTCAATACACAGCCAACCCTATCCTCTCCTACTTCTCCCCCACAATTCCTTAGCACCCCCACAATGAGAGCTTAGCACTCCCGCTCGTGACTCCATGAGATGCGAGTCGCGACAACCCATCGGCTCCTTCTCAAGCCATAAAGCCTCAAGTTTGGTCGCAAAGCAGCCGAGCAACAAAGATGCAAGTAGTCCTTACTGTTTCGTTAGATCTAGCGAGAAAGGAACATGGTGCCCACCAAGTGGTGGTTGTTTCGTCAGGTATATTTTATTAATACTCTTTTTATATTTTTATTGAAAATAAGAACTTTAAATAGATTATAGATTGCATTCTTAAATACCATGATGGAAAAAAACAATCATTTAAGTTGGCACCATGTCACTCAAGATTCGTGATAGAGGTTGAAGTGAGATCTAGTGTAACACCCCTGGTGTTAAGCATCACTAAAACTTGATCATGTCATCATCATGCATAATAAGCATGCACTTTAGCTAACCATGTCTTGCATTCACTAAAAACAATGATGTTTTGTTAGGGATGCAATGCATATGTGGTGTGTTGTGCTTAAACCAAAAATTTCTTTTAAGGTACTTTGTGACATTGTAATTTTGAATTTCACTAAAGTACTTGGAATTGTGTCCTAATAAACTTTGAGGTGTGAAGTGCGTACTTTACACAAGTGTCAAGCGTAGGGCAGGAATCCAAGTCCAACAAATTACAATTTGAGCTCCAAATTTGAAATTGAACTTGAAATTCAACACTTAATCCTAAATTGGCTAAGTGTGGGATTTCAACATTAAGTTCACTTTT